CTCTTCTCAAAATTTCAATAGCTTCTAATTGGAAAATATTTTCTGATTGCACCTCGCAGAACTCCACTTCGATTCTGTAAGGATGATATCCGATGTATTGCCAAAATTTTTGCAGGATTCTCTAAGCAGAAAAGAGAAATGAACGCACATTATTGATTTCTATATGTTCAGTTAAAAACCTGATTAGTTCACCGCAGTAGACTGTACCATGCTATTTAATTTAACTCAAACCTTCTGTATCTCGAATTCCCTCTGAACTATTAACTTGTATTTGAACTTTATGTAAACATAAGTTATTTGAACAAAAATTCAATATAAACTTAATCTATTGATTACTTATCATAAAACTCTACTATGACTGGTTGATTTCAATTTGAATAAAAAGGTATTTTTCTGATTAGCACGAATAAATAAAATCCAGTACAAGTTTTATTGAAGTACTCGTCATTTACTAAAAGCTTTTTTAAGAAAAAGTTAGTGCAACAGTTAAACTGATATTAAAATCTCCATTTTAATGAGTTTGCAAGTTTTATATGAAAATAAAATTCAAAAAATAACTGAGTTTCATGCTGTAAATGTCATGCAATATTGAAGATAAATATTAAAAATCTTTGACGAGAAATCTTTAAAAATTCTGTCAGAATTCTTCTATTCACTGACACATAGAAACAAAGGAATATTAGAATGAAATTCAGGTACCTTCTTGATCTTCTACATTCCTGTCAGAATCGGAACAAAACACATTGCAAATTCTTCATTGTCATTTTAGTATAGTTACTGTTAAAAGTTTATTTAACAAGCACAATTTGAGTTTTTGAGATTCAAAGATTCAAAAATATTTGAAGAATCTTAAATAGGAACTGTTAAGGATTTTGGCGGAAACATTTCATAATTTTATTCAAAATTCTGAGCCAGATCAGTCATAGATCTTGTTACAATCCTCAAGATCAAGCTTTAGTAGACTCTAAATGAAAATGGTAAAGATATTCGTCTAACCTTGATATGCTTTCAGAAAGATCCTGGCCATCCTTGACCTTCTCTAGAAAGGATCCGAAATGCTTGTCCTTGAAGAGATCCTAAGACAACCCTGGAAATGTTCAGAAAAGATATTCGTAAGAAGAATGCTTAAGAAAATTAGATAGAATCGTGATTGAATCTTAGAAGAATCCACTACCTGAGAATTTTCATTGCTCTTCTATTAATTCCTTGTAGGATCTTTGCCTTATTTAACTGTAAGTCAGGAGAGGACCATGATGCAGAGATCCCAAACGAATTCTGTTAAAACTATAATAGAATCTAAGCGATATTCTTTCTGTAATCCCTATCAAGGTTTTGAGTAAGACCAAGAGTGAATCCTAGTACGGATCATCATGTTAAAATAATAAAGAAATCTGACTGGGAACTTGAAAAGATTCTGAGAAGAATATTTTTTTCACAATGAAATATCGTGCAAACCAGTATTATTAAAATTGGAAACGGAATCCTGAATAAAATATGACATGAATCTTCAAATTTAGGAGCCCAAAATGTTATTTCACACTTTCTCAAGGAAAAACAGGATTAAGACTAAAGTAGAGGGTTGCTCTAAGTTCTGACATCCTTAGTTTGACGGAGAAAAGCGGATTCTAGAGTCCTAAGAGATTTTAGAATATATTTCTAGAAGTGTACCAAAAGCGGTCACAGATTACCGCCATTGGCTATAATTCAACACAATCCATTACAATTTATCAGAGATAACTAGAATGCAATAGAAATCATCATGTATTACAATAATATCAAACCGATCGCGGAAGCGTAAATCTTGATGGATCCAAAAAATACGCAGAATCCATAATGATATGCCAAAATTTACCAAGACATAATCATCTCGGTATCCTGGATTTTTTTTCTCTTTACTTAGTTACAAATTCTAAAGTCACTATTCCCTTTTCTCACTTAATTTATTTGGACCTTAAAGAATTCTCATATCCATTAAGATCAACTTTTCCATCCTCGTTTCTGTACGCTTGAAATAATTTATTCTACAATTCATCAGGTTCCGTCAGGATCCACTATGATCCACTATGATCCCTTAGGATCCATTAGGATCCATCAGGATCCACCAGGATCCAATAGGATCCACCAGGATCCACCAGGATCCAATAGGATTCACTAGGATCTACCAGGATCCACCAGGATCCGAGGATCCAGGATCCGCTTTTTCCCCCTTGGATAGCCTAAAACATATACTAGTACAAAAAAAGCCAAACAAAGAAGCAATAAGACTACTACCAATATCATCAGAATCAAAATAAATAATAAAAAACATTACCAAAGTAAAAACAAAAAGAAAAGAAAAACGTAAACAAAGAAAGATGAGAAATAAAAATAAAAATGAAAAGAAAGAAAGTATTACTAACAAAAATACTAACTCACACATATTGTAACCTTTCTCTTTATCTCAAGCTACCACAATTGATTGTCGAACACCTATACCTTCCTTCTGTTTTATTTCTTCTTTATAATTAAAAAATCATTCCTGTTTATATTGAAAAAACCTTTCTTCTTTATATTGTAAGAATCTTTTTCTTATGTATTGAAAAAGCTTCTTCTCTCCATTGTATTTTTCCATTGTATTTTTGCATTTTTTCCCCTATATATTGTAAAAATCTTTTTCTTATAGATTGTAAAAAACTTCTCTTTAATATTGTAAAATTATTTCTCTTTACTTCTATTATTTGTAAAATCATCTCTCCTTACTCCTACTATTTGTAAAATTATCTCTTCTTACTCCTATTATTTGTAAAAATTATATCTCACTACTTAAACGTGCACTAACCGCTACAATTTCGGAATAATATATCTCAAAAAATGAAGAAAACGCATTAACACATAAAAATACATTATACGACATTATAATACACTATAATACATTAAAATACATTGAACTACATTAAAATACATTAAAATACATTAAACTACATTAAAATGCATTAAACTGCGTTAAAATACATCTAAATGCATTCAAATGCATTAAGGCATACGACAGTACATGAATATTCATTAAAACGCCTGGTAATGCATAGAACTGTACCAATATCCTAAAACATATGAAAACACGTGAAGACCCATTAAGATTCATTAAAACATATGAAATTGAATTATAATACATTAAGATTCATTAAAAAGTCAATACCCAACATTATATGAAAAGATATATATATATATAATCAATACTCAAAATCGTTGTTCCTACAATACATATAAAAAATCAATATTCAAAATTGTTGTTCCTGCAACATATATACATAAAATCAATATTCAAAATCGTTGCTCCTGGGATATAAAAATTCAATATTCAAAATCGTTGTTCCTGCAATATAAAAATTCAAGATTCAATTGAACTTCCCTTTATAATTCTACTTCTATATGAATTCGCTTGAAAAGATAATTCGAAAGGCCTCGCGTTATCCTCATACTCTATTTAATTATTTATTTTTCTCCTTGTCTTTTCTCTTTTTTCTCCTTTTTTTTTTCTTATTATCTTTCTCTTTTCTTAAAAATAATAAAATTAGTTTATAAAAAAAATTAATAAAACAAAAAAACAAATTGTATTAATATTTATTATATTTATCGTTATTCTCTTCTTTATTATACATTAACAAAATATATAATTATCCTAAAATTAAAAATTTGTGTTGACTTGTCAAAATAAAAAGAACTCATGAACTGCAAGACGTAAGTCATTTCATAATCTTCGTACACATTAAGCTTTACATTGTTACGCTTCTTTCTATAAGAAAATTCGAACCAGAGTTCATACAGCCAGAGTTGAAGATATCGATGATTTAAAACCGGAAATTGCGAAGCAAATCGAAGTAACCAAATAAATAAAAATGTTGCATTCTTCCTCTACACTACAAAGGCTTCAAATTGGTATTGACATCTAAAAAAAAAGGATTTTCGACAGCATTCGGAAGATTCCTATTTTTAAATGAATACTTCGAACACTTCTTCGCTATGAGACAAAAAAATCCACGGAATCAGTTCAAATACGGTAGAGATAAACGATTTTCTTTTTCATGGGTTAATTCTGCGACACTCTCCACAAATGAATCATAGTAGAAGGAAAACTTAGAACCAAAAAAAGCTAGGTATGTGTTGGCAGTATTTTGATAGATAATAATTCGATTCTCAATGGTTGTTATTTATATGAATGAATGAATAGATATAGATAAATAAAAACAAAGGTAAATTTCGGACGAACAAAAGCCAGGTTTGTTTTGACAGCATTTTGATTCTATTCAAGATATTTTGATCGACATTAATTCGATATTCAATGGTTGTTAAATTAGTGGAAGAATTCTTTGATCATCGACTAAGGTGAACAAATTCTGAATAAAACATTACCGGACACGACTATTCATTTTCAATCTACATGGGGTCATACTATTCATAATAATATGTGATTTAGTAGGATGGTTTTTCCATTTTGTGTTCTAAACTTGAAATAATAGTTTAATCCACCAAAAAAGGGATGGGAATCCTGGAATTCGAAATTCCTGAATTCCGCTAATTCACCCCTTGGATTACTGTCGAATCGTCGAGTTATCATTAATTGAAAAAAGAGAAAAAGATTTTTCATGTTTTTCATCATTGTCGGTGCCAAAATACAAACAATAGCTCTGATCGTATTCTAAACAGATACTGATTCTGCCAAAACCACTAGATACATCAAAAATTGAATTTTGTTTCGTTTATTGAATTGCAAATAACTAATGATTAAAATTTACGGACACAGTATTCTAAGCACACTACTCGTATAGATAAGCAAATAAAATGTCAATAGGATATAAATAAAAAATAAAAAATCTAGTCGAAAATAATGAAACAAAACTCACTTAAAATATAAGAGAACAAAAAATTGTGCATGTTATAGAAAAATTTCAGAAAGGTAAATATAATTTATAGCGGAATATAATTCGTGTTAGTAACGTCCTCACTACCATTTGTGATTTTTATTATGTTGACTCATTGTTTGCATCTGCATTCGAGTCACTTTGTGCGTCGGGATCTTCAGCATCTGTTGCCTGATCAATTTCATCAGTCGTTTCGATTATTTCCTCAGTTGTTTCGGTTATTTCAATAATTATGCCGAAAATGTCATCATCTGGTCCGGTCGAGTCATCATCTAGTTTATCAACTTTTTTGCCTTGAAGCGCAGATTCCTCTTCAGTCTGAAGAAAATAAAAGAAAAAAATATATAAAAGATGAATATAACAGAATTTAATGAAGAAACTATTCTGACCAGGTTCGACTTATCGTTTGTTAATTCACTAAAAAAAGATGAAATATATATTTATTAAGGAGTTCAATGAAAGTATTTATGAGATTATTGGACACGATAGACTTACGCAGTCACTGTTTGATCAACTTTCTTTTCAGTGAATACTCGCAATAAAAATTCAGCAGTCTTATCATTTTTGTACGTAGATGGAATAATAACATAAGTCCCTATCGGTAAGCGAAATCGTTGAGTTATAACGAGTCGATTTAGAAAAGCACCACTGCCTGCCACACGTTTCAATTGATTTGCATATAATTTTAATTGTGCATTTTGAATATTGTTATTAACACTAGCTTCATCTATCACCTACCAAAACATAAATAAGTTAAAAATAAGAGCACTCTCGAAATCAGAAATGAATTTTGTT